AAAACCCCAAAACCCCAAAACCCCAAAACCCCAAAACCCCAAAACCCCAATATGATAATCGGAATGAATAACTATGCATGATAAATCACAATAATCAATAATTGGATGGCCACAAGCATTTAATCCCTTATTAAAACAGAGAGTCGAAATTGAAATCCTTCATTGTGTGACTATCAATCAAGTGCTTAATTAGAGGTGCAGTTACATCTCTCATGCATAGATATGAGAATTGCTGTGTTGAAAATGTATGTGATTCATCAACAGTAGGAAAAGCTCCAGTTTTCATGCCAAAATCAATACTGCCATCGCCAGTGCCAAAGTTAAACTCATCCTTCAATGATGATAAGGCAAAGATATGTGCTGCTTCTCTAGTTGTGTCATCATTCAGAGCTTTTAAGAACACTGATTCAGGAGGCCCTGCCCAGTATCCGTTGTAGTAGCTGCAGTACAACTTGTAATGAGCTTGATTTGCGCAATCTGGAATGCCATAATTTGACCCAGACATAGAGATAAAAGTATCGATCTTATCAGTTAAAGCAACGCCGATGTCATACGTTTCAGCTCCGTCATCAAATTTACCACCTTTGATAGCTCTTCTTGCTAGTGTCACTCCCATTGAATGTGCAACTAGATTTACCTTACTAGATCCAGTGTAAGCAAGCACAGCTTCAATGAACTTCCTCACAAGCATGACTTTTTACTAATTATGAACTTCCACTTCAAGCCAGGATAGGTTGCCTTTGCCCCATGTAGTGGCATACAACTCCTATTGCGTATAGCCATTAGTGAGCATATATTAAATAGTCTGAGTGAATCCTATCTAAGTATCATTGGTACCTGCAGCCACATCTGAATTGCCATGGATAAATATCAATGGAATATTTTTTATCACATCTGTGTCAGATTACTTGCCCCCATAAGACCCACCGGCCAATTCACCTCTGTTGAAGTCAAAATCAGTGTCCAGTTTATTATCCTTAAGCCATTTCTTGAAATGATCTGTAAGACCAAGTTGGAGATTATCTTGAAGTGAAATAGAAGCCAAGGTAAATAGTGTGAAAATTATAAATGAGGCTTTCGTCATCTGAAATAATAAATAAGATTTAAGATAATAATATATTGACAAAAATGTGAAATTTTTAATTTATAGTTTCAGGATTTTAATATACATATAAGATTAATGGGGTTTTGGGGTTTTGGGG